GTTTCCCCTTTAACGCCTATAGGTTTAATGAAGTACATGTTTCTTCTCAGCCATCTAGTAGCATCAAATAAGGGGTGGAACTTCAGGGGGGAAGGAAAATAAAACATAATATAATCTATACATGGATGTCAGTATCTTTCATTGTTACTGCTGAATTTTCTTTTGTTTCGTTTTTATGTGCAAGCATTTAAAACACGCAGCACAAGTGAGGTTTTGTTATGCTGACAACAGTGCTACTGACACAGACCACTTTCAGAAAGGATGCACAAGGATGCTGATAAGTGTTCAATCAGCGACTACCTCAAAACAAAACAAGGAGAGGCAAAAGCTTAAAGCAAGTGAAAAATTATCTATTCATAATCTAATGAAAATGCTACAGATCCAAAGAAGACTTTCAGTGGAACCAGCCAAAATTATTTTTAAGTACTGTTGTCTTCAACCTTTTGAAATGAGGAATTTGCCTTTTGATGTGAAACCTGCTTTTCATCATAAAGATAGAACACAGCATCCTTGGCTAAGCTATTCACCACAGAAATGGGCTATTTTGGTATTCTCTGTTTAGCATATTGTAAAGGCTTAGATTCCAGGTGAGCAGCTAATTACAGAGTAGATTGAAAGTCTATATGGTCATTTCCTTGCTTCACTGATTCCATGTTTTCCCTACCATTCAATCTGTCCCTTAAATACTTCATTTAATATTCAATCAATCAATAACATACTTTGCAATTCTACTACATGTCTTAAATTAGAATGTAGAGTGTGGAAATAATCTGAAATTAACATATGGTCAACCCTACTCACAAGGTTTTTAATAATAATGACTAAAACTAATAAAATTATTACAATCCACTCACTAAGAACATTCCATCCCAATGAAAGGACTTCTAATATACTTGGACAATAGACTCCATAGGATTACAATGATTTTATATCAGATTTTCTGAGCTATTGAATTAAATTGACCATAAAATAATAAACATAGTAATCAAACAACTAGGAAATGGGTCATCCATTCCTATCAGTTCAGAAAGTTGTATTTCTAGATACTTATTGAATGAACAAGAAGTTTCTATTTCAGAAAGAGATGATTGTAAAGTACTCATCCAAAATGGTCCATAAGCCAGATTCAACTGAAAAATCAAATACTAATACCATAAATACATTTTATTTGATGCATTTATGTTTAAAAATTGATTTCTGCATAATAACCCTTTAAGGTAAGTAGTGTAAGCATTATTATACCCATTTTGTAGATGAGGAATCTGATACTCAGAAAAGTAATTTATCCATGGTCAGATAGCTAGTAAGAACCAAAACAGAAACCTTAGTCTTCTGACTCTAGGTCCAATGTTAGTGCCATTCTGCTTACTACCTCTTGTTTCATCCTTATATTCCCCAGCATGTGGTCTAGTACCTTGAACATAGTACATGCTTAAAATTATTGTATAACAAATTATGGTAAATTAAAGTGATAGAATACTATTGCGCTATAATAAATAATGAAAGGAATGGGTTCAGAGAAACCTGGAAAGGTTTATATGATTCAGAGTGAAACAAGCAGAAACAGAAAAATAATTTATACAATTATTTATGCAATAAAAAAATTGCAAAGATAAATAACTTTGGAAGACATGGCAATCTTTGATCAATGCAATGAACAACCCTGGTTCTAGAGAACTAATGATCTATGGTACCAACCTCCTGAAACAGAGAGAGAGATTGGATTCAAGATATAGAATGAGACGCATATTTTTGAACATAGATAACTGTGAGAATTTGTTTTGCTAGGCTATCCATATTTGTTACAAGAATTTTCTTTTTCTTCTTTTTTTTAAACTGGGAGATGGGGAGAAGATAAAATAAATCTTTAGTAGTTGAAAAATAAAATGAAATTTAAAATTCACATGAAAAACATCTCAAAAAATAAAAATTTGAAATGTTGAAATTCAAAGTGTTTTTCTTCCTATTCTTGCTACATTATTGTTTTTAAAATAGTTTTAAATTATTAGCCAGATTGTTAGTTGCAAGCTCATATTATATATATCTATTCAGAAATAGGTGAAGTGCTATGGGGAAAGCCATATCTATGTTGATAGTTCTCTACTATGGTAAGAATAGAGGCTGGTAGTATAATTCAAATATAGGAGCATCACAAAGGGCAGCAAAAAAAGGTAAGATAGAAATTAATAAACAATATAAACCCCAATACAAAGTACTTCAGAGTTTATGATGAAATGTAATTAGTAAAAAAGAAAAAAAAAGAAAGAATATGAAAAATCTTAAGTATTCAGAGAACCCACCCAGGATTTTAAAAATCAACCAATTAGCTTTAGGATGGAGGTAGGGAAGGGGTTGAGACATTTCTCTAAGCTAATTACTAAACTCTGCATTTGTTTGCTGTTAGGCATATTCTCTAGATTTACCAAAATAGAGAATATTGAAAAGAAATCTGTAATAGAAGAAGAATTTGAGGAAGTAAGTGATTGGAGAGGGGAGAAGAAGAGGTCATTGATACATCCCAGAAATCCCACCCTTAAGACTATTAATATCCCATAAATTCAAAAGACATTCCCAGTGAATTTCCTTGAGTGACACGGACAAAACTAATGTGTGCTTTTAGTTGCTTTCTAACAAGCCACACTGACATTATAGAGTAGATGTCATAGTCAGCCTAGACAAAGATTTAGGAGGACTCAATGACTGAGGAAACTATACTTCTCTCTAATCTCGTGTAGATCCCTGAACAACAAGGAAGAAGCACACTGGAAAGACTGGCCTTGCATCTGGGGCATAGGCAGAGAGAATGCTCTACATCTAAAAGAAAATAAAGGCAATTTCAATTCCTGGGCTGGATAGGTCAGCAGAAGAAGAAACAACTTACTTTGAGAAAGAGTAAGAAATTATATATAAGTAGGCATGGCAGTATTGGTATAAACTCTTCACAATGAAACAAAAAGCCACATCAAGTATGATGTGGAGTTATTCACATAGCACAGTCTCAAATGGTTAATGCAGTTATTTTTAGAAGTCCTCCCTGGCATTGCAAGTCACAAACAGAAAGACACCAAACAAATCCAAACTCAAGCAACAATGGGAATTTAATATGAGCCCTTTCTGAACAAAATTAACAGACCTGGTTCCAGGCCATTTTTCCAAACACATAATTCTGGGTGTCACATAGCACTCAAGTACAGACATTCTTTGACAGAATGATTCCACTGAGAAACAAATAGAAAGTTCATTCTTCATTCCCTTCCCTGAAAACAAATGGAAATTATCCTATTAAGGTTACATGGAAAAAATCACACTAGCCCACAATAATGGTTTAATTTTTCCCTCTAAGAAAATACAGAATTCCAAATATTAATGATCTATGGACATGCTCACTGGAAAACGGCCTACTTAATATTTAAATGCAGTGAATTAATCCCATTCACCCTAGATTTTACCATTTTCCTGTATGGAAGTTTTCTTTTGTTCAACTATAGTGTATATATTTGTAACATGTGCTTTTGGATTATTTAATTAAGTACCAAAGGAAATTATGTGAAATATTAACAAAGAGCACAAAAGACATATATTTGAGATGAGGCTTAGATGTTTGCATCTCAGATAAATATGAGATGTGGAGTTATATTTTTTTAAAAATTAAGATTCACAAAAATGAGTTGGTAAAAGGTCACAATAATGCAGATCAAAGTATCTTCCATAAAGACTGAATAATAACATAGATCATCACCCACACATATATGTATGTGTGTGTATATATAAATAGATAATTATACATATGCATATAATTATGTGTGAAGAGAGTGGGGGAGAGATTGTGTATGTTTGTGGTGAAAGCACTAGTGCCATTAGAAATGGAGCTATTCATTTTTATTGAAATTGACCTTACAGCTGCTCCATTTAATCAAACTTGTTGATTTCTCCAATCAATATATTAAAAAGTCATTTAATATTGCTTGGTATTATATTGATGATTATATAACAACCATTGGGCCTATATAACTTAAAGACATACTGCCTTTATCATTTAATTTCTTTTTACTAGTGTCTGATTTTAAGAATTAAATTCCAACAATCTACCAAAGATTCATTTCCATATACCTGTATATGCATTGTGCCATCCCAAACATGGTTAATTTAGTGTTTGTGGACCCAAGTCTCTTCATCTATAAAAGAAGGGTTGGACTAGATGATCTTTAAGATACCTTCCACATCTGACCTACAATAGTTGTGTATAGGCAGAGACATATAGAGTATGAAAAATATCTAATAAAACCAATTATTTTGCTAGTGCAAGCCTCTAAGTCTGTGGGAAAAAATAAAGGTGTTACCTTCTGGTTATTATCTTCCTTTTAAATTTTTAAATAACACCCTGATATTTATATCAGCAAAGCATTTTTCATTTTATGTAGAGTCTTCTGAGGAGATATTTTGAAAGTATGAGAATTAACAGCATAGGGATCTGACTGGTTGATGGAGGAGACAGTCTTACTCCTACATATCTAAATAAGTTTGTGCCATGGGAACAGTGGTGATGGGGGCAGGAAAACAGCTTCAGTTGTTCAAGGCAGCTGAAGCTTTCAAGTCCAATTCATGGGTCAATGTTTTCTTTTTGAAAAACACATCCTTCAGATATGTAATTTTAGCTAATTATCTGAGAGTGAAACAATGTCTTGCAAACCACCCCTACAACTACAGAAAGGGCTGAGGATTTGTTACATAACTTTACATACTGCAGGAATAATTGCCTAAAGAGTTTAGTTGCTTTTTAATAACCACTACCCCACAGGAAAATGATATTTAGTTCATTAAAGGAGAAGGGAGGGAGTGTGTGTGCCCTGCCTGCCTTCCTTGATGAATGGGTATTAGAAGGGGGGGAAGGTATTATCCAAGATAGCTGTTAAGAAAGGGATTGGATACCAATTTCTGGACCATATTCCATTAGTGCCCTTGCATTCCCAGTACATTTCTTTTCCAAATGCAATCCCTACCTTCTGTGTGGACAGCGGAGACATAGGTCCAATTGTAACGTTTGACTATGTCAAGCATAGCCCTGGCTTGCAACGTGTCTGAAGGAACTACCCTCAAGAAATATTTGTACAAAGTTTTGTCACTCAGGTCAATGCTTGTGGCTGAATAAGCAATCTGGGGGATGTCAAAGAGCTGAAGTAAATTCTGAACTTGTATGGCCACTGAGCTGGAACCAGGACCAATCACACCTGCAATGGGCTTTTTAGTCCGGCCAGGGTGGTGAGATTGGTTGTCAGGCAGGCATCGATTGGTACCATCCTTGTCATCACGAATAGAAATCAGAGAATCTCTAATGAACTCAATACTCTGCTCCAGTGCAACAGATGAATGCCAGCAGGAATCCCTAATCTCACTGCCCAGAGTGATGTTGGGCAGCAGAATGGGATCAGAGTTAATTTTATCCAATGTGTGAAACATGGCCTCCACTCTCTGGATGCCATACTGCTCCCTTATCTCCCCACACTTCCTCTCAGGCACCTTTTCTGCTGGTGGCTGATGATGAACAGAGAAGAGAGCTCCAATAATGACATCCCCATCCATTCTAGCCACTGATCGCTGAGAGGAGCCCCCAACCAACAATACATTCCTGCCAGGGCTCCTTGGCAGAAGAGTCATCTCCAAGAAGATAGCTGGGAAAAGCATCAACAACATCCCAATCATCTTATTGCACGATGCCATACACATCCAGGTGAACAATTTGATAGACTCTTCTTTCCTGAACATTGTGGGGGATACAGAGATGTCTCTCGTTCCCCTTTCTCTCTCTTCTTGGTTACCTCTCCCCTAAGTGTCTCCTATACAGCAATAGCCACAGTTTCGTCCCACCTCTTCTTCCTCTTTTTCTTCCTCGTCCTCCACAACCACCACCTCCACTCACTGGAGGCGTTTTCAGACAAATGTGAACCTTTCTTCTCCAGAGGTGGCTCAAAGTAAATGCATTGATGGCATAGTTGGAGTCATTGTGGCCAGGAGTTGTACTTTACTAGAGAGTGAGGGGAGGGGTATGGTAAGAATAGAAACAAAAACACTGTGATTAGAAGAAAAGGTCAGTGAATGTTAATCATTTCTCAATCCTTTCATTTTGGTAAATGTCAGTATCAACCAGAGGGAAATTTTACAGGCCATCTCAAGGACAGCTATAGAAATGTTATCCTTATCCAGTGTTCTATACAGTCTTGCCTGATTTATAGACATATCTATCTAGTCTCAAGGTTGACTTTCACCCTTTCACTCTGTGTCTCCTACTGGCCCAAACAAAAAACGTTTTCAAGGTGTTGTCTTTGTTTATGCCTCTTCCTGCCAGGTGGTCCAATCCAGAAGTTTCTACTAGTTGCTATGTTCACCTTCCTATTCTCACTCTGATTTCAAGAAAACCAACTTTTTCAGGAGAGAAAATTTGGAAACTCTTCTAAGTAAATTGAAACACTTTTTTTAAGGTCAAAGAGAGAAGTGGATGTACCATTTACATAAACTTATTTTAACTGAGGGAGAAAAAAGGATAAAGATTAAATCCAAGTGTGGAATTTAAGCTTGGGGAAAATCCTTATTAGTTACTAAGGCAACGCCTGGGAAAGTCATCGTGTTTTGGTTTTTTCTTTTCCTGAGAAGCCAGCCTTTCACTAGATTTTGAGGGAAGAAGAGGTGAAGATGATTCGGCTGATTAGAAGAGATTAAATAGTTTAGCGCAGTTGAGAGAAGGGACAGAGGAAATCTTGTACATACCTTAGTCGAGACTGTTTTGTTCAGCAGAGTTTAAATAAGAGGGAGAAAGCAATAGTTTCCTGTTGCATTCATTGGTGGGAGAGCGGCACCCTACCGCTGCTTTCAGAACACTGGACAGCGCACTGAGCAGCTTCAACCTTTTCCCTGCAGTCACCAGGACTCAGAGAATGAATTAACCCTGTGCACTTCTCCTCTCCTTCAACTTCCTCGCCTGTGTTCTTCACCCCCATCACCACCGCCAGAAAGCAGCAGTGGCACGGACACACACACACACACACACACACACACACACACACACACACACACACACACACACACATACACCGTTACCTCATCACCTTTCCTCTCTCTTCCCAATTTCACTGAGGCTTCTCTTGCTCCTTTTGAACCAATTTGGGGAGAGTCTGAGTGGGGATGGGTTTGGAGATAGAGTCACAGACTCTCAGTAGCAAGCGGAGCTGAAGTTGGCTCCCACTGCTATCCTTAGTGGGTCTCTTTCTCCTTAAGGAGAAAGTAGGAAATAAAAGGGGTTATGGGAGTGGGGAGATAAAGAAAAGGAGGGAAGCGAGTGCAGGAAAAAGCAAGAAGATGATTCTAAGGAACCAGTGGGTCTCAATGCTTCTCCTGATTTCATGACCAAAATAAATAAACATGCATCTACTACCAAGCAGAAAATCAAAGACATTAGAATTGTGCCTGCCACATGGAGACAGCTTTTAACTACTATATTATAGATCAACCATGACATATTTGGCATATTTAAACTTGAGCCTTACCTGAATCTAGGAGACAGTGCTGTTCTTCCTTGCTCAAAGCAGACAGTGGCACCTCTCCCGTTCACAGAAGCTTTAGCACAAATCCAGTCGGATGGTAATGATAGACTATGGGCTGTACACTAGTGCCCTCTTTCTTCAATACAATTTTACCGCAAGAAAAAAAAGGGGGGGAAAAAAACAGGTCACCCAAGGCTCATCCATTATCTCATGCATAAAAATCAGTCATTTGTGGAAGGGGGATGGGAGATAAGACTGAGAAGAAAAGAGAATTCTTATTCTCTATACTATTCTATGTTTCTTAATGAAATAGAAAAACATAAATAATGGTGTGTGGAGTTGGTAGGGAAAGGAAGTACATATGCTGATTTTTGTGGATGTTCTCTGTATATCTTTCAACTACTCAAATAGATTGTCTTTCCTCCAATAAGACAAAATCTAAGGAATGTAGATTGTAAATAAACGTGAAGGCCTCCAGAAGATATTTCCTATGCCTTTTGGAATAAGATACAGAGATCAGGAAGAAGACTGAATGGGAAGGAGAGGGAGAGGGGTGTGTGTGTGTGTGTGTGTGTGTGTGTGTGTGTGTGTGTGTGTGGTGAGTGTGTATAACTCTGTGTGCATGTGTGTATGAGAGAGAGAGAGAGAGAGAGAGAGAGAGAGAGAGAGAGAGAGAAAGAGAGAGAGAGAGAGAGGAAGGGAGGGAGGGAGAGAGAGAGAGAGGGAGAGGGAGGGAGGGAGGGAGGGAGGGAGGGAGAGAGGGAGAGAGAGAGAGAGAGAGAGAGAGAGAGAGAGAGAGAGAGAGAGAGAGAGAGAGAGAGAGAGAGAGAGAGAGAGAAGAGGTAAGCCAAATGAAGACAGAAGCAAATCTAGACTGTATTTTTTCAGGTCAAGATGTAACTAAATTGAGCATGAGTAAGCCAGGTCACATGAAAACAGTGCAGTGAAAAACACTTATCCAAATACCTCTCAGGCTGGCATCACCCCCAACAGGTCTCTGGGTGTTACAGCTCATTGTGTGAAAGCTGAAGTTAGATCACCATCCCTCTGGGAAGTCTGCTGGATGAACAGAATGTGTCCAACTTACAAGAAGAAAAGAACAAGTGTTGGTGTGTTCACTCTCATTCAATTCATTCAATGAACATGAATAAAAGTGTGGGGTCATTTCATAGCCTACTTGCTCATGTCAATAACAAAATACAAAACAGCTATAATAGGGAACAACATAGCCCGGGCTGGGTTTCAGTTTCTTCTATAAAAATTTATAAAGGAAAGTCAGAAACATTGATAAAAATTAAGATCATAGTATTGCCAGCATTCTCCAAATGATAGATTATATGGGGGTTTGTAGTTGTGATTGATGTTGTTATTTTCATTTCTTTTCCATTTGTTTGTTTTTCAGAAAATACCTGGATCTAAAAGGAATTTGTTTGATTTTCATTCCATGGTCATAATGATCCAGGAAGCTAGGAGCAGAAACATGGAAAACCAGAAAAGGAGGAGTCATTGTAGAGTCATCTTTAGACTTCAAGAGGAAAAGCAGAAGACAATTTTCTGTCCCCCAAAGAAGGTGATATTGGTCATCTGCTGCTTAGTCCAGGGAGACTGAACAGATTGTGCCCTTCTAATTCAGGAAAACTTTTGCGTTGAAGCCACAACACAATCCTACAGTAGATCAAAGCTTCAGACATTAATACATTTTCTCCAATATAAATTTTATTTGTCTTTTCTGATTTTGGATAATGTCACCCTTCTAAGGTGAACTCTGAATAGGATTTGACCAGGAGCACTTCAGTGATGCAGTCATCTATATATTTATAATACATTAACAATAATTTTCTGGATTGAGAAAATTACAGCCTCTAAAGTTCCAACTGTGCTTCCATATGTGTGTTCTGCAAAGCTGAACATTTAAAAAATAAAATATTAATGTGTTTTAGAAATGGCTCCTTTACTACTGAAGGAGTAATTAAATGCTCAGATTCATTTGTGCTCCAATTCATTTGACAGTAAGTAAATAAGTATTCAGGCTTTATGGAAAATGCTTTTAAAGAAGGTGAATTTGAAGCAGATCAGGTATTTCTATGTTCACAAATAATATTTTTGAATTGTAATAGAAAAGATGTTAAGTATATGTGGAAATAACTAGCTTTTTTCTTGATAATCCTTTAAGAAAAAAAAAAGAAAGGCATTCTAGAAGGGTCATTTGAAGGAAGAAAGAATGCATTGATGAATCAGAATCATTCTTAGATTCTCTTTTTAAAAAGACACTAAGGCATTTTCTATTTCTTAAAACTATTCTTCAATACCTCAAAAGCCCTTTGATTCAATTGATGTGGGTGGTCCCCTGTGGTCAGACTTCTAGTGATAAGTGTGTTCCCACTTACATAAAGTTCTCTGATGCCAATCCATTGCTCAGCACTACTAACAGCATTTTCAGCTTGATAAGACCTACCAGAGCCTTTACTCCACCAGCATAGGCTTTCTAAATCCAGGATCACCTCCATGTTATGATGAAGCATCAGAATGGGACTTAAATGGAGAGCTCAAAATAATTCAGAGGATGATCAAATGGGTTAACCAACATATGAATTCAACTCTCTGGCATAAGAAAGACAAAGGTAGAGAAATTGGTATAGAGATACAATATTAAAAGGAGCAAGGAAGTGGAAAAGTGCCTCTATGAGAATAGATTTAAAATCATCTAAGATCTACTACTTAGTTAACTAACCTGTGTGCCTTTGAAAAAGTCACTCAATACCCCACCTCAGTTTCTTCATCTGTAAATGGTTGGAGGGATGAACTAGATGATCTCTAAGGTTTCTTCTAGATTTAAAGCCTATCCTATGCACCAGACTAGTGTAAAGGCTAATAGATGATGTGAAGTATTTAAAATCATGAAAGATATAACAAAATTATCATTTATTCCAAATCCAATAATACTAGCAATATGGAGAGAGTCAGAGGAAGATAGAGAAGGACAAGGGGACAGACAGACAGATACACACAGAAACAAAGACAGGCAGAGATAGAGACAGAGACAGAAATGGAATTTATTAAGCATTTATTTATTATATTCCAAACCCTAATTAACAACAAAACATTTTAAGTTTAAGGTATCACACATATTGCAAAACTATAATTAAACTGGACAGATTGATTAAGTCAAGTCTGAATTTGTTCCAAATGGGAAATGTTGCTGGTAACCTTTGAGAGAGCAGTCTAAGTAAGAGTTGTAGGGTAAGAGGATCACAGATTAATAGATAGATGGGACCATAAAAGTCATGTTATGGAATCCCCTTATTTTTCAGCTGAGTAAACTCAGGTCCAGAGATTTCAAGTGACTTACCCACAGAGGTAGGAAGTGGCAGAACTGGGATTCAAACCAAGGCTTCCTTATTCCAAATCCAGTGTGCTTTCTTACTGTACTATGCTATTTCTCTAAACCAGAAGGCAAAAAGCTAGTGAGGAAATGGATGCAGCAAATGTGGATGATTCTTTTTAGGAGCTTAGAAATGAAAGGAGAAAATAATAAGGGTCTAAAGGAAAGGCGGAGTCAAGGGAGGTTTTTTGTTTGTTTTTTAAGGATGACAGTAGACCTGGGTATCCTGGAAAGCAAACAAATAAATCACAGGAGTGGGAAATGAGTCAATAGATGTGGAGATACTGAAGATGAAATGTAGAGAGAATGATTGATGGGGCAAGCTTCCAGGGGAGATGGGAGAGGATGTGATAAGGCACAAGTAGAGGGAGTTAAGTATGGGTAAAGATGTGGAAGAGTTTTGAGAAGCAGACAAGAGGATAGAAGAGAAATCAATTGTCCCAGTAGAGTGGCAGTTGGATTCATCTGCTGAGGGGATAGGATGATCAGATGTTACCTAGGGGAGAGGGGAGGGAGATGATGGGGTAGCTTGGGGAGAGAAAGGAAGTTTTGATGCCAAAACAATCAGCTAAAAAGTGAATAATTCAGCCAGAATATAGTTCAGCCATTTGGACTCAACTAATTTCTTTATGGAAATTCAGTCAAAACAGTTTGTGTGTGCTAGCATAAGGAAAACCACAGATTCAGTTACGCTGCATTATTCATTCTTTCATTTAACAAACATTGATTCTGCATGGAAGACCCTAGTCGAACTATTGAAAGAGATAACAAAGATTAATAAAATATTGTCCTGGTCTTCAAGAAGTTTGCAAGTTTCCCCCAATCCTTCTTAATTCTAGTGCTTTCTTTTCATGAATTTTTTCCTATTTATCTTGTATATAGCTTCCTTTGACTATATTTGTTTACATGTTGTCTCCACCATTAAATTGTAAGCTCCTTGAGGGCAAGGACTGTCTTTTGCATTTTTTTTGTACACCCACTGTGCTTAGCACAGTGCCTGGCACATAGTAGGCACTTAATAAATGTTTATTGAATTGATTTGAATTGTTATTAATATTGTTACTCTTCTAAAATGCCACCTTTCATTATATCAAAAAGCTTTAATGAATCCTTATTTCCTATAGGATAAAGCTTGCCATTAGAGGTCCTCTACAATCTTAACCTTGTCTTTCCCATCTATTCTCCCAAATACTCCCCTACATAAACCAACCATTCCAACCAGATTAGTCTACTTCACTATCCTCAAAACTCACCTTAAATTTTCCTGTCTTCATGCCTTTACAAGTGTTATTGCCCTAATCTGGAATGTCTTTAACTTTCCTCCCTGTCTATAGAAATCAGACTTTCTTTAAAGTTTAGCTCAAACCACAGCTCAAGGAAGATGAGGACAAAGAAAAGGCACCTGGATATAGCAATAAAACAATCAATCCCTGGTCATTTTTATATGAACAGTTTTATTAGGTAGAATAGTCAGGTCAGAAGCTACGTTGTAAGAAGTTTAAGAGTTTATGGTGAAGAAGTAGTGAACATTCCTGCCTAAAGCAAACCTTCTCTCCTTTGAATACAAATAGCATTTCTTGCTTATGCCAGCCAACAGGTATGTTCATAAAAAGTATAATTATGAAGTGATATGGTTGATTTTTAAACAAATATAACTGAAGTTATACTAATGAATGAATGTTTTCCTCTTCAGAGCAGTAATCTGTTATATATTTATGCTATTTAAACTACACTTCTATTCCATGAGGTGGCAAAAAAAAAAAACCAGAGGACTGTGAGTGAAGACCTGGGTTCTAATCCTTATTCTGCCACTGTCTGGGTCACTCTGGACACTGATAACAGTTAATAAGTCATTTCAAGGTTTAAAAAGTACTTCCCTCAAGCAATCCCATGAGATAGCTAGAGTAGGTACAGTTGTCCCCATTTTAGACATGGAGAAATGGAGTCTCAGAGAAGTGAAATGGCTTATCTATAGTTCCACAATTAGTAAGTGGAAAAACAAGAATATAGACCCTTCGCCTCTGGACTCCAAGTCCAACCACACTGTCCCTCCCATTTTACCCACTCTAAAGTTAAGTTTCCTCATCCATACAATGAGGGGAGTGGATTAAAAGATCTCTGAGGTCCCTTTCAGCTCTAAACTGAAGTGGTGATATGCTAGGATATTGCCACTTCTCAGAACACTTTTGGGATTCCTCCTCTGAATTGCCATCAGAGTCTTCAATGCATAAGTAGGTGAAATGTCTTCATGTTCTCTTTTAGTACTCTTTCTCCTGATTTTTGGCATTTCTTCCCCTCCCTGATGAAATGCAGGCATATAAAATCTAACAGAGTGCTTTTAAAAACTGGGTTCACCGTCTCAGCCAGACTGGAAGTACGAGATCTAGTCACAGGCCTGATCCCATGACTGATCAATTCTGGAACTTTGACCTGACCTGGTCTAATTTACATGTTGACACTTTCCCCTCCACCCACTCCAACATTCCCCATTTCTGGAGGGCTCAGCACATTGATACTGAACTCAGATCTACCCAGCCTACCATACCTCAGAACTCCCAAGTGCAGGAGATCCACCAGCCTCAGTCTCTCTCTGGCAGTAGGGAATCACAGGCATGGGTCACCTCAGGTAACTTGTTGGATTGTTATAGAGAAAAGAAAAACTGAGATAGGCTTCCTG